CTGTTTAGAAAATGCTTTTTTTCCTGCAACTGGAACGCACTGGAACTGCAACAGCACTAATGTGAACTATGACATTGACAACCACATAACCAACTTTCTGTGCGTTTTCGATGCAGAAAAAAAGCAACTGAACCGGATGTAGTGTGAACTGACGGGGTTATAACCCTCCCTACTGTATCCAAAAATGAATAAAAACTTTTTGCCCTTAGTTCTACTTTAAATGGTTTTGAATGTAGTCTTTGGTTCTCTTTTACATTTATGTTTCAGGCATGCTTTCAGCTTAAAAAACAAACCAAAAAAACACTAAGCTCTGGGCAGACGCTTACAGCAGTTAAAGAGTTAAACCTATGCTCCTTTTTGACCAATAGATGATGATTTATTTTCAGCCCCTTGTGTCTCCGCTTCAGCAGCCATTTTGATTGAGCCCTCTCCTTACTCTTGCATTCGCGTGGTCTCCATAAAAATGGCGGACACCCCGGAGTTCAGGGCCCTGGATTGCGGACATATCAGTAAAAAGTATCCAGCAGCCTTTACCACGTGTTTCATCTCTGCAGGCTGTAGGATGGTGTCTTTGTAATCGTTATTATTTCCAAGGAGAAGGAGAAGATAGAGATCTGCTGATCCCTTATTATACACACGTGACAGCCCTGATCTGAGGTCAGTCAGGGACAGGCAGAGATCAGGAAGGGGATCTGGGGGTTTATAGAGACTTTATTGACCCCCCCCCCCCCCCCAGTCTGCTGCATCTTCCCATCATCTCCCCTGTATGAAGTCATGGCTGCCCCATTCTCTGATCCCTGAGCTCTCCATTCTCTGGTCTGTCTGCAGAGCATCATCTGGGTGAGATTGTCACCGTCTCCACGATCTCCCATTATCTGGGTGAGATTGTCACCATCTCTGCGATTCGCCATCATCTGCGTGAAATTGTCACCGTCTGTGCGATCTGTCGGCTGTGCTTACCTTCCAATTGAACTCCATCGTCCTGGATTGTCAGCGAGAGGTCAGCACGGTGAGATCACAAGGCTTCCTATACCGATCAGACTTGTAGATGAACTGTATCTATATCCTCAGACTGGACCCACCACTGGGAGGAGCCCGACACCTTCCGGAATGTTCAGGCCTGCTCTGAAGATTGACAGGACAGATGTGTGTAGTAGTCGTAGTCACCATCTAGTTTCTGGTGTCCTATAGATCTATGGATGTCACAACGACAGACCAGAATAGCATCAGATGTACATTCCGTGACCTCCAAACTGAAACGTCACGGGCCCCGAAGAGTGATCAATTCTGATTTGTCTGATTATTGTATATCACACATTGCTATCCAAACTACACAAGTAACATATCGGAATTTTGAGGATTATTAATAGCTTGCGGCGTTACTAAAAATAACAGGTTGAACTTTTTCATTCCAGGACGTTCCAAACTGATTTTCTGAAACCTGAACTTTTGGGTGATGTAGACAACAGAGGGATCTGAATTCAGTTGGTTGAAATCAATTTCTAGTCAATTTTCTATTGTTGGGTTTTGTTTTTTTTTTAAATAATTGTTGCTGGTTGTGTAAAGATGTCCACGGACCACGAGATCCAGTTCTGGTTGCTGGTTCTGGGTTACGTGGTGAACAAAAAGAGAAAGCGTAGACGGGAGACGGTGAGGAACTACTGGGTGCACCCGCTGACCAGCCAGAGGTTCTCCAAGGGACAGTTCCACCTTCGTTATGGAGACCTGCGCACGTGTCCCAAGAGGTTCTTCAATTACTTCAAAATGTCCATCGGAACGTTCGATGAGCTGCTGGAGTACCTGAGGCCGGCACTCATACGGAGCGACACACAGATGAGACTAGCTATATCCCCCGAAGAGCGCCTCTGCGTCACTATAAAGTAGGTTGGTCGAGGATGTAAATGGATTTATGTACATTGGTTCTGTGCGCATTTTCCGGCACCACGTTCAAAACGCACTGCAGATGCAATCTGCAGCAGGTGTCATTAGTAGGTTAATGGCCTTTCAAATGCAGTGCATATGCCCGCACCACATTGCATGTTACCAAGTATCATGCGATTCAGTTGCAGTGCATTTCTAAAAAGTAGGGTATGCACTTCTCTTTGTGTGGTGAGATTTCAGCCCATAAAAAAATGAATAGGCTGAAACTGCATCGCACAGGAGTGCACAGCGTCTTCCTGTGTGGGTATGGTGTGAACTGGCCCTTAGTCCACAATAGGAACAGGTAAGTGGTTTTAAAGCGAACTTGTGCATCATCCATTTAGTGCAAAGTGACAGGTTTGCTTTAATCCTCCACCCCTCCCCAACATATCCAATCGGAGCTGTCTCATAGTCCATAGTCTCCAAGAGACCAGCATGTTGTAATGGCAGTACAGTGGTACCTCGGTTTACGAATTTAATGCGTTCTCCGGGACATTTCTCATTGCGAAAAATTTGTAAACTGAAACGCGGTTTCCCATAGGAATACATTGAAAATCAATCCATTCTGAAGGTCAGAAAAAAAGGAAAAAAAAAAGTATTTTTTCTCTTGATAAAGTGCACTTTAAAGGCATAAATACTGTACAGGGACATGTTAAAAAATTTCCAGAATGGCTCTAAAACTCGATGCAAAAACTGCTCCAACACCTCCAGACTCGATGCCACGTGCTACCCACAGACTCCAACATGCACGGGGGCAGCGCTATAAACCTCCCAGGGCCAATGCATCCTGTGGAAACTTGCTTTGTATTGCAAAAAAAAAATGTAATAAACTGAGGCATTATTTTCAATGGATTTTCATTCGTAAATCGAACATTACGTCAACTGAGGTGTTCGTCAACCGAGGTACCACTGCGTCTGACCAGTTCTGGGAGGGCGTCATATGACATCCTCCCAGAACGCGCTCTCCTGCGCACCCCCGGCGATCTCCGTGATCGCTGTGTCCCACGGACACAGCTGATCACGTGGTGTGGTAAAAGGCCAATCACAGCGGTCAATGATACACTAACCAGCGGAAAAATGCAACTTGTGCCGGTTCTCGGCTGCACTTTCCTCACGCTGTCAGAGCATGAGGAAAGTACTGCCGAGAACCGGCAGTTGTCAGAGCAGGTATCGGTACCCTGATGATCGGTGATGATCGGTGTCCAGCAGTGCCACCCATCAGTGCACCCACCTGTGCCACCCAGCAGTGCCACATCTGTGCCCAGAATTGCCACCTACCTGCGTCCAGCAGTGCCACCCACCTGCGCCCCCAGTGCCACCCCCACCAGTGCCACCAGTTGTGCCAGTCAGTGCCCAGCAGTTGCACCAGTCAATGCCTAGCAGTGCCGCCAGTCAGTGCCCAGCAGTGATGCCAGTCAGTGCTGCCTATCCGTGACACACCTCATTAGTGCTGCCTATCAGTGCCGCCTATCTGTGCCACCTCATTAGTGCTGTCTATCAGTGCCGCCTATTAGTGCCCATCAGTGCTGCCTCATCAACGCACATCAGTGAAGGAAAAAATTACCTGTTTGAAAAATTTTATAATAGAAACAAAGAAACTTTTTTTTTTTTTTCAAATTTTTTGGAATTTTTGTTTATAGCGCAAAAAGTAAAGGGCACAGCAGCAATTAAATACCACCAAAAAAAAGCTCTATTTGTGAGAAAAAAATGATAAAAATTTCATATGGGTACAATCTTGCATGACCGCGCAATTGTCAATCAAAGTGCGACAACACTGAAAGCTGAACATTGGCCTGGTAAAGAAGGGGGTATAAGTGCCCGGTAGGCAAGTGGTTAAAATGTATCTGTCGCTGTTTCCTGCATAATATTTGGGAGAGGGCTAGAACCCTCATTAACTTTTTATTGCCGTCTGTATTCCCATTGGAGATCTCTTCTCACTTTCTGCTATGGTCGCATTATTATCACTGGAACAGGAAGTGCGGAGAACTCTCCCCAAAGGGGACACGGAGAGCAGAAAAACCTGACAGGGAATCTAACTACAGCCTACTCAGACCCAAACAAAGATGCACTTAAAGTGGTATTGAAGTCATAATTTTAACTTTTCCCTACAGGTTTGCACTTATATAAAGCCTTACCTGTAGGTGCGGCCTGAACTCGCACAGTTTAGTAGATATTAACATTGGCTTCTGCTGACAATGTCACTAGCACTACTCTCTGCATTCTGGGCACACTCAGTGCAGAGAGCGCTGCCACAATGGTGACTCCTGTGCCCTTGCGAAGGAGTGGTGTCATCGTGGCTCAACCATTCAAATGGCTGGAGAGCCAAACCCAAAAGGAGGACTGGGTGAAGATGGCAGCGCTGGGAGAGGTGACAGCTGAGTGCTGGAGGTCTCTGTTCAAAAGTTAAGTCTGGTATAATGTGCCAATATGTGGTGCATATTAGTACGTTTTGGCATAAACCTGCAGGCAGTAGTGTATTTAGATCTTGTGCTGTCCTAGGCAACACTAAAATTAGGTGCCGCCTCTCGGTAATTGCCGCCCTAGGCAAAGACCGCTGCCTGCAGGGGGGCCAATTTTAACTATTTATTGTTGTAGAGTTTACTACCACCATAAGGGCCTGTTCACACTTTAGTTTTGTGGTAATATGCACCTTACCCACGTTACATGCATTGGTGGCATGAGGTGCCATTTATTTGAAAGGCACCTCAAAGCACCTTTTTGACAAACACAGCAAGCACCAACGTAGGTGGTGGTGTGCTGCCAAAAAATGGTACATGTGCCATTGGTTAGCAGTGTATCACATCACCCATTAGGCTACATTCACACTACAGTAGCGTGTAAACATGCGCAACATCATGTGATTTTTGTTCCTGTGCACAAAACACACAAAAAGTTATTTTCACGCTTGTGGTGTCATTCATTGTTAATAGCACTACAAACACGACCAGCAAAAAACAGTGTGAATAGGGGCTTGGTGTCTTGCAAGGACTTCTGCAGGTAATGTGCACTGGGGTGCCATTGATTTAACATGCATTGACACGCTTTAACACAACATGATGCACAGCCACTGGTGTACCCACAGAAAGATGACCACCGGCTCAGGGAAATGAAATGATAATGATGAGACTGCAGACATAGTACAGATGACCAGAGACTGTGGACACAGTACAGTAGATGACCAAGAGACTGCGGACACAGTACAGGAGATGACCAGAGACTGATTTTGGGACACAGTACAGGAGATGACCAAGAGACTGCGGACACAGTACAGGAGATGATTTTTAAGACTGCGAGACACAGTACAGGAGATGACCAAGAGACTGCGGACACAGTACAGGAGATGATAAGACTGCGGACACAGTACAGTGAGTATGACCAAGTATTTGACTGCGGACCACAGTACAGGAGATGCTCTTCTGTGGTACCAATTGTCCTGTCAATTTAAGAGAGGTGAGAGTACAGGATGCGACATAGTACAGGAGATGACCAAGAGACTGCGGACATAGTACAGGAGATGACCAAGAGACTGCGGACAATAGTACAGGAGATGACCAAGACTTGGCGGACAGCACAGGAGATGACTACTGACCTTTGGGGAGGGGGGGGGAGCGGGTACCTGAATTTGACAGGTACCCGCTACTTACTTCCACAGAGTTGTTCTTTGATATTTACCTGTTCCTCTATCCGTTTGCGGCACGCTGTCTTCCCGGCTTCTGCAAGTGTGGGCGCTCAAGCATGACAGCCGGGTGCCCAGTGCGCATGATTTTGCGAGAAGCACTTGTGATTGGTCCGGCGGCTTCTGGGATCTGTCATGTGTCCCAGGTACCGCCTTACCATTCACAAAAAGCACACTTCTTGCACATGCGCACTTGGCACCTGGCTGTCAAGCCCACACTACAGAAGCCGGGAAGACAGCGCGCCGCTGGATAGAGGAACAGGTAAGGTCAAAGAACAACTCCGCGGAAGTAAGAGCGGGTATCTGTCAAATTCAGGTACCCCGCTCCCCACCTCCCCAAAGGTCAGCAGTCCTCTCCATAAGGTCCCGCTGCAGAGACTGAGCGGCCGGCCCGGTATTCTGACATGGCGGCGGTGGAAATACCGGACCAGCCGCTCCATATTCGCTCCATAAGACGCACTGACATTTCACCCCCCTTTTTTGGGGGTCAAATCAAGTGCGTCTTATGGAGCGAAAAATACGGTATTTGATGTCCTGAATATTTTTGTAAGTTTGCCCACTTGTGTAAAAGAAATGAAGGGTCTATAATTTTTATCATAGGTGTATTTTTAAATGATAGAGACAGAATATCATTCAAAAGTCCATAAAAAAAACACATGATACAAATGTTATAAATTGAGTTGCAGTTCAGTGAGTAAAATAAATATTTGATCCCCTACCAACCAACAGTGTCCCTAATTCTGGCTCCAACAGACTGCCTATGTGCTCATCTGGTACACAGATTAGTCCTGTCAATTTAAGAAGGTGATCCTAATGACAACTAGTTATTTGTAAAAAAGACCCCTGTCCACAGAATCTCTTTCTTGGGCACCACCATGAAATGGGATACAAGACCATCAGCAAGAAGCTTGGTGAGAAGGAGATAACTATTGGAGCGATTAGTCTCAAATAGAAGAAATACAAAAAAACCATCTATCGCCCTCGGTCTGGAGCTCCATGCAAGATTTTGCCTCTAGGGATGCTCATGAGAAAAGTTAGGGCTCAGCCCAGAACTACATGGGAGAAGCTTGTGAATGATTTTAAGGCAGTTGGGACCACAGTCTACAAACAAACCATTGGTAACACAATATGCCGTTGCGCTTTGAAACCCCGGCTGCAGCAACCGCAAGGTCCCCCTCCTCAAGATGGCACATGTACAGGCCCATCTGAAGTATTGCCAATGAATTCTAAATGATTCAGAGAAAGATTGGGAGAAAGTGCTGTGGTCAGATGAGACCAAAATTGAGCTCTTTGCCATTAACTTGACTCGCCGTGTTTAGAGGAAGAGAAATGCTGCTAATGACCCTAAGAACACCATCCGTACAGTCAAGCACTGAGGTAGAAACATTATGCTTTGGGGCTGTTTCTCTGCTAAAGGTACAGGCCAACTTTGCCGCAGTGAACCAATGAACAGGGACATGTATTGTAAAATGTTGGGTGAGAACTTTCTTCCCTCCATAACACTGGAAAATGGGTCCTCCAGCATGACAATGATCCAAAACATACTGCCAAGGTAACAAAGTATTGGTTCAAGAAGAAGCACATTAAGGTCATGGAGTGGCCTAGCCAGGCTCCAGACCTTAATCCTATAGAAAAATGTATAGATGGAGCTAAAACGTTCGAGTTGCCAAGCGGTAGCCAAGAAACCTTTAGGATTGAGAAGATCTGTAAAGAAGAGTGGACCAAAATCCCTTCTGAGATGTGTGCAAACCTGGTAACCAACTACGAGAAACGTCTTACCTCTGTGCTTTCCAACAAGGGTTTTTTCACCAAATACTTAGTCATGCTTTGCTTGGGGATCAAATACTTATTTTACTGAACTACAACTCAATTTATGACATTTGTATCGTGGTTTTTTTTTTCTGGATTTTTGGTTGATAATCTGTCTCTATCATTTGAAATACATCTATGCTAAAAATTATAGACCCTTCGTTTCTTTGTAAGTGGACAAACTTACAAAACCTGCAGGGGATCAAATAATTATTTTCCCTACTGTGCAATGAAAGGATAATGTAGGTTCCAGATGAACAAATTCAAGCCATTGGTTGCCCTGTTGGCATGCTCTGCCCAGCATCATTTGGCCTAAAATTGAAGAAGCCTGGTGGAAAACCATGCTTTACAGTGTGAATGGATTAATCTCCTGTTGTCCTGTACTGTCAGAAAAATTTCAGCTGAACAGCAGCTGTATCCAATTGGATGCAGCCATTGTTTGGAGCCAGTTGAAGCATGTCTGGTGGGAGTTGACCAACAGGGCCAACCACGTAGCAAATTTTGTAAAGCTCATCAGGAACTGGATAAAATTTGCATAGTGTGTGGTCAGCTTAACACTACCCCATCCCCAGATTGGCAATGCAGCTGGCTGAAGGTTTCTCCATTGCACCTCCATCCTAAGAGGACACACCCAAGACAGAAAGTGTGTTACTGGCCAGTTCGCCAGGTGAAAATAAAGAGGGAAAAAAAAGACTAAAAAAAGAAAAGGAATGCAACCACCACATATAAGAATATATAAACTGCAAGGTATTCCATTTTTGCTTTTGGGTTCAATAATACTTTATACCATCTGAGGGTTCTGTAGGCATGTTGCCAGCCAACATGTCAACAAACAGCTTTTATTAGAGAGCAGACCATATAGATTGTCAGATCACACCTTTCATTTTATCCCGTTCCTTTGGCTCTTTTCCAAGCATCTATGCAAAATACTATCCTGCATAGCCTGATTTGCATAGCCATAGGCATGTACAGAACCACTGCCTCCCACATTGCAAAGACCAGCCTTCCAATGGATCACTCATATTCTCAGCATTTAGCTTAAAGCAAAATTCCACTCACCCTGTAAAAAAATAAAAGTCAGCAGCTACAAAAATTGTAGCTGCTGACTTTTAAAAAACAGCCACTTACCTGTCCCACGATCCCGTGTTGCGCCCTCCGCAGGCAGTTTCACCGGCCGTCCTGTATTCCAGGTGCCGGCATCTTCAGTGTGGGCACCCGGCTGTCATAGCTTGTGGCTTCACAGCCGGGTGCCCACTGCACATGTGCGAGTAGCGTTGCACTTCCTGAATGGCCCCGTCGTCTTCTGGGACCAGTCACGTGTCCCACAAGACTTTGGGGGGGGAGGGTAGGAGGACAACTTCCGTGTTTCTGTTCGCCTAGGCGATCGCAGCGGAAGTGGGAGCGGGTACCTGCCAAATTTCCCCCCCCTCGCTCCCCAAAGGTGCCAATCCTTCATGGGGAGCAGGGGATCAATCTTTAAAGCGGATCTTCCCCTTTTGGGTGGAACTCTGCTTTAAAGTGTTAGTTCACATTTTCAGAAACAGTGGGGTGGTTTTACTAAAGACAAATAGACTGTGCACCTTGGAAGTGCAGTTGCACTCATTTTCCCTAGAGCTTAGTGAATGTGGTGAAGCTTTGCTGATTTCCATCAATCAAGTGCAAGCAAAAATGTAATTTTTAAATTTTTCTTGTACCTTATTGGGTATTCTTTGCAAAGTAAAACGTTACAACATTTCTGAAGCTCTGGATCAAAGTGCGCAGTCTTTTTGCCCCATGAAAAGGTGAGCTAACCCCCATACACCCTTTCACCCCCCTCCAATCCCCACTGAACCTACCTCTTTGTTTGATGAGCTGACAGTACCCATGCAGCCTGTGTAGAAATCCTGGGATTTGAAATCCCTGTCCTTCTCCCTCTTTCTGCAGTGATTCTGGGGTGGATCAGAGTGATTCTGATCAGTTAGCACTGGCACAGAGCATCGCTCTGATCCATCCCAATAGTACTGCAGAAAAGAGGGAAAAGAACAGGTATTTTAAATCCCCAGACTACTACACCAGCTGCATGGGCACTGACAGCTCATCACCCATGGAGGAAAGTATATAAGTACAGGCGGGGAAGGGGAGTGAGGATGGATAGATGTATGGTGTTAGGTCATCTTTTCAGAAAAAATGAAAACTTACACTTTAAGGATCAGATAGACAGAAGCAAGTCAGTTCTAGTTCTTGTGCTTATGAGCGTAAAGTGGTTCTAAAGGCTGAAGTTTTTTATCTTCATGCATTCTATGCATGAAGGTAAAAAAACCTGTGTGTAGCAGTGCCCCCAGCCCCCTCAATACTTACCTGAGCCTCATCGCGATCCAGCTATGTAAATGGCCTCGGCTGTCCTGGGTCTCTTCTTCCTCATTGGCTGAGAAGGCAGCCAGTCAGGAGAGAGAGAGGGGCGGGGCCAAATTGCAACTCTGTGTGTGAATGGACAGATGGAGCAGCGGGTGCCCCCATAGCAAGCTGCTTGCTGTGGGGGCACCCGACTGGAGGGAGCAGCCAGGAGAGCCTGCGGGGGACCCGAGAAGAGGAGGATTCAGGCTGCTCTGTGTAAAACCACTGCACACAGCAGGAAAGTATAGACATGTTTGTTTATTTTCCCCCCCAAAAAAATTAACCATTTAGAATCGCTTTAAACTTATAAAAAGTCCAATTGACCCTCTATAATGTAGTCAGGCAGCAAATACAAAAACATGCTTGTATGTTTGTGTGTGTAGCGGTTTTTTTTTTTTTTTTTTTTTTTTAATTGTTACCTACTATGTGCTGCAGCTAGAAAAAAAATTCAAAAATCCTTTGGCAAGTAAGACATCTCTAATATATGTATTTTTTTTGTGTTTTTTAACGGTTTGTCCAGAGTTCAGCTTTAAAGACAGTAGGTGTATTCTCTTTGCTTGTTTATGGTCTGTTCTATTAACTGATGATGTTATCGTTTGGCAGATACCTGGCCACGGGACACAGTTTCACCTCCCTCCATTTCCGATTTCTGATTGGAAAAGCGACCATCAGGTTAATCGTTCGGGAGACCTGCAAAGCGATATGTGACACTCTGTTTAAACTCTTTATGCCAGAGCCAACTAAAGAGAAGTGGATACAAATAGCTGAGGAATTCTATTCCACTACCAGCTTCCCAAACTGTGTTGGAGCTCTTGATGCCAAAGACATTCGAATGAAAATGCCACCAAATAGTGGGAAGAGGCACTGGGACGCCAGTAAACATTCCCTTGTATTGCTGGCCTTGGTGGACAGTAAGTACAATTTTATCACCATAGATGTTGGCGCTTACGGAGCCACAGGCTGTTGTAGTATTTTTAAG